CCTGGGGAAGGCCACTGGGGATTTTTAGTTCAAAGCAATATGGTGGCCGTGAAGGTGGCTGAGGGTGGAGAGGGTGAATGTACTCAGTGACCCTTCTTACTGCTGGGGATGGGAATCTTTTAGCTACTGTAGATGTTTGCCTGAGGCTGTGGCTGGCCCTCCATCAGCAGGGCTCTCTGTTCCCTGGTGGGCTGTGCGTGGCTGTCCTGTCTGAGATCACAGCCGTGACCAAGAATGGGAGGGAGGACCCCAGCCTAGAGTGGTAGGGCTTTGGCTCAGACACTCAGACTCCCCTGACTCACCACACTTCCTCCCACTTTCTTAATCTCCCCATTTCCTCCCAGTTTCGTACACATCCATCTCTTTTCTTATTTTTCTAAAACTTTGATTCCGAAGTATTTTAAACATGCCGAAAATCCCATATAATACTAAAACTATCACTAGCTCTGTCAAATCTTAACAGTTTGCCATTTCATTTTAAGAAATAAAATCTACCCCCTGGCTGGTTTAGCTCAGCTGGTTGGGAGTGTCATCCCATGCACCAAGAGGTGGCAGGTTCGATTCCCAGGCAGGGCACATACCCAGGTTTTGACTTCCATCCCTGGTTGGGGTACATGAGGAGGCAACCAATCAATGTTTCTCTTTCAATATTTCTCTCTGTTTAACTCCCATCCTCTCTCTCTAAAATCAATTTTTTAAATAAAGTTTTAAAAAAATAAAATCTCACATGTGTTTAAGCTCCTTTACCTGTAAATACCTCCATCTATTTCTCCTCCGGAAGGAGTTGCTGTCCTGGGTTAGGAGTGTAACCCCACAGTGCATATTGGAGTAGTCTTTATATCTATGTGTGTATCTATAGACACTTAGTAATACAAGTTTGCATGGTTTTAAACTTATACACTGAATACAACCATTTTTAGTTTCTCTTTTGTAGAGATATTTTTTCTTTCGATTTTATTTTTATTGGATTCAGGTGTGAGGCTTAGTGCTTAGACCATCGTTTCTCAACCTGTGGGTCGCAACCCCTTTGGGGGTCAAACGACCCTTTCACAGGGGTCGCCTAAGACCATCGGAAAACACATAGATAATTACATATTGTTTTTGTGATTAATCACTATGCTTTAATTATGTTCAATTTGTAACAATGAAATTGGGGGTCACCACAACATGAGGAATTGTATTTAAGGGTCGCAGCATTAGGAAGGTTGAGAACCACAGGCTTAGACAATCAGATATTTTACATAGTGTTTCCTTTGATACTTCCAGTACTCCAACTGGAAGTATAGTTATCACAATATTATTGACTATATTTCCTGTGCTTTACTTACATTTCCGTGACTATTTTATAACTACCAATTTGTACTTAATCCCTTCACCTCTTTCTCCCAGTCCCCCAACCACCACCCCTCTGTAATCACTAGTCCACTATGTGTCTATGAGTTTGTTTCAATTTAGTTTGTTCATTTATTTTGTTCTTTAGATTCTACATATAAGTGAAGTTATATGGTATTTGTCTGTCTCTGACTGACTTATTTCACTGAGCATACTGCCCTCTAGATTAATCCATGCTGTTGCAAATGGTTAAAGATTTCATTCTTTTTTATGACTAATTGTCTGTTGTCTTTGTGCATCTAAGATAACATATCTTTGAAGTGTCTAGACCCCTGAAGGCACAACTGCTGGCACCAGAGCGTGAGACCATATTATCTCGCAGCTCACATACCATCTCTATGTGCTACTATCTCTATGTGCTATGAATGTTAACTATCCTGGATCCACCGAATAGCTCCATCATGAATGTCAAAAGCCACTTTACATAATGTAAAATAAGTATGTGTCTCTTCATTTTACTTTTTAATCCAAGCTCAGAGATGTCCTACTTTGTTTTCTCCTGCCTCCCGAATCTACCACCAATGGATTTCATTGCACCCCTCTCCCCCTTTACATCTCCTCCTTTGATTCTTGTATAAAATAAGCTGCAGAACTGCCATTCTCAAGAATATTTTCTCAATCCATTGAGATTTTTCTTCCCAGCAATTGTCATCAGTTTGACTCAACTAAACTCTAAGACTTTTTCTTACACTGGATGTGTTTTCGTCAACACTCTGGTTCATTAATTTTAACTGCTGTATGGTATTCTATACCTCAATTTATCCATTCTGTTGATGGACAAATAGGTGCTTATAATTTGGTTTTCTTAAAAGTAGTGTGCAGCAAATATTCTCATAAAGGTCTCCCTGCACCCATGTGCAAGAGTTTTTCTAGAGTGCATAACTAGGAGGTCGGTGTATCTTCAACTCTACAAGATATTGCAAACTCCTCTCCAGAGTGACTCTGTGAGCAATACTCCCCAGCAGCATATGGGTGCCTGTTTTTCCATATCCTGGAGTATTATCAGACTTTTAAGATTTTGCCACTGGGATATGTGTAAAATGAGATCTCCTGATTATTTTCTCTTCCAAGGTCCCAGTGCTTCTAAAAGCTCCACCCACAGCCCACACCCAGTCACACACAAAGGGGATGGATCAAGCATGGAAAACTTGGGAGGTTTTCATTCTTCTGATCTCTAGGTATTGGGAGTGCACAGAGCTATTTGTGGGGACACCTTCTCCATCTACACTCTCCCCTTAGATAATCTCTCCCTGACAAAGGACTTTGAAATACTAACACATAGACCAGTGACTTCTAAATGTATAAATAGCTCCATCAAGAATGTCAAAAGCCACTTAACAAATTTAATTAATGACTAGTACAACTCCATTAAAACGTAACCTGCCTACTGCCCAATTAAATTTCCTCCTCAACCCTAATTCTTTCCCATTTTCCCCCATCTTTCAATTCAGTTTCTATGTCATATTGTTCTTGGATTTCCCCCCTTCTTTCCAATTTTACTGCTGCTCTCACAACCTTGGTCCAAGCCACCATCATCTTTTGCTGGGATCACTGCAGTTGCCTCCTAACTGGTCTTGCTATTTGTCCTCTTGCCCTTACAAACATCTCTAGCCAGCAGCCAAGACACTCTTTATAGAACATTAAAAAAGTAAAACGCCATTCCCCTACGTAAAACCCCCCAATGGTGCTTAGTATTGAAAATTCAAATTCTAGAATACTGTAATCTAGAAGGTCAATGAGATCTGGTTCCTGCCTGCCTCTCCTTCCACAATGCCTCTCCAGCATCTGGGACTTTCTGTATGTGGAGGGATCCTCCTTTGATCTTTTCATGGCTCCCTTGTCATTCAGGGATCCACCACTTCTTCAAAGTTCTGTCCTGACCACCCCACCCTAGCTATATAGTAGTTCGATCCTGTAGCATCACCCTATTCTTTTTTTCATTCTGGAACTTCTTTTTTTTTAAATAATATATTTTTATTGCTTTCATAGAGAGGAAAGAAGGGGAAGAGAGAGATAGAAACCATCAATGATGAAAAAGATAGAAACATCAATGATGAGAGAAAATCATTGATTGGCCTCCTCCTGCATGCCCCATACTGGGGATGGAGCCCACAGTCCAGGCATGTGCCCTGACCAGTAATCAAACTGTGACCTCCTGGTTCATAGGTCGATGCTAAACCACTGAGCCACACCAGCTGGGCTCATTCTGGAACTTCTTATTGCTAAGTGCTATGGTCTGTACCCCACCAGGATATCATCTCCATGACAGTTGTCAACCTTACTCTATACTTGCAGTGCCTGGCAAGAAGTGGGTGGCCACAGAATTCTGTTGAATTAGTGAATGAATTGATGGGGTCAACAATTTAGAATAGCCTAGGGTAGACAAACTCATTAGTCAACAGAGCCAAGTATCAATAGTACAAGGATTGAAATTTCTTTTGAGAGCCAAATTTTTTAAATTTAAACTATATAGGTAGGTACATTGTTATTAACTTAATTAGGGTACTCCTAAGGCTTAGGAAGAGCCACACTCAAGGGGCCAAAGAGCCACATGTGGCTCGAGAGCCGTGGTTTGCTGACCACGGGCCCTAGGCCGTCAAATGAAATTTCTCCCAGACTCTGGGTGGGATAAAAGCTGCTGGAGACAATACAACACGTCTGTAGCTAGAATTGTGATTCTCAAACTTTTAATCCCAGGACTACTTCACACTGTTAAAAATTATGGAGGACTTCAAAGCCCTGTGTTGATGTGGAATATATCTACAGATATTTGCCGTATTAGAAAATAAATGAAGAAAATGTTAAGATATTTATTTTTTTAAAATAAGCAATTACGTGTTGACATCGTAAATTTGTATAACATTTTAAAAAATTCATGAGCAATGGCACACTTTAAGAGCCGCTCTACACATACAGTGCCTAATTATAACCAGGAAAGAGTCTGCTGAATGAGTGGATATATGTGGGCTCAAGAATTTAGACCAACCTTTAGGGACAGATGTAGCCCTTGCCCAGCATGTGGGTAGAGGACAAAAGACCACGCCTTTCCCCCTCCATTCTCCTCATGGTTCACCCACCCACCCACTCACACACTTCCAGCCCAATGTAGCCCTCTCTTCCCTTTTCCCTAACAGTTTTCTCTGACCAGAAAAAAATAAAAGTAAAGTGAGAAATAAGTTTAGTGTCACTGGGAATTGATTTGCAAGCTGTGTATGTCTTTAAAATGTGCTTTTTTCTGTAACCAGAATAATGATTGTGTAAGTTTTAATCCAGGGAATTCACCTTGACAGTATGAGTGTTGAGGCCTGATTTGACCAGGATTTGCTTATTCCTTTTTGTGTTCATGTTGAGAAACCAAACTGAGTGTCATATTATTTTTTCAGGGCAGTACCGAAACCAACTTCTTCCTCTTTCTAAGAAGAAGCTGCTCCCTCCCTTTTTATTTCTTTCCTCTGAGTAGAGGAAATTCACAGAGCCATGGTAAAAAAAAAAAAAAAAAAAAAGTGGTCATCTGTGTGCCCCTACTGAAGTGTCTGAAGCTCCCCAGGCCCCGGGCACGCCTCTTCACTTCCACTTCCTGACGTCACACTATTTTTGTCTTTGAATAGCTTATTGACACGATCGCCTCGGAGATCGGAGAACTGAAACAGGAGATGGTGCAGACAGATGTCAGCCTGGAAAATGGCCTGGAACCCACCGAAGCCCACAGGTGACCGAGGCGATGCGGCGAGACGGGAGCTAAGTGAACACTATACGTGTTGAGGACTGTGCCATTTCCGGGGCTCCTCCAGTTTGGGAACTGGGAGTGTGGTGGCCGCTCCAGATGAAACCCTGGAGGAGGTGGGAGTGGCCTAGGAACCAGTTGTCTGCTTGTTTATTTTAATCCCTGCGAAGGCACTTGAACTTTACAACCTTTCCCTTCCTCCTGGCACCAGAACCCGGAAACCTAAAATTCTATCTGCCATATCCACCTACTCAGAGTGATGGAAACAATAACGCAGCCGGATCCTCCGTGCGCAAAATAGAACTCAGTGTAGCCTGTATCAGTCTCCAGGAGGTTTACAGGGGAGCGCTCAGAGGATGGATTCATTTTGCGTTCTCAGGTCAGAAAACCCCCAGCACCCACCATAGCCGTTAGCCTGCGGTGCAGCCCCGCGTTCTGACAGTTGGATGTGATTGTAAATGACTAAGTAAGGGGAGGCAGTGTGTTGTCCTGGTTAAGCATGATATGTTGTGAATGTATTTCATGGATCAGAGTAGGTAGTAAGGGACTGATCTTTATCTGGAGAATGGAGGTACCAGGTCAGGGTGGGGGTGGCAGGTTGGAGGAGCTTGTCAAACCTCATCCAGCTCTTGGACCCTGTAATTCATTGCTAGCAAAACAACAGAATATACTGACGGCTGAACAGCATGGACATTTGGTGCTTGAGAGGCCAGATTTGTGATCTGTGTGCCCTTTTTCCCAGGAAATGGGGTTGAGGCTGCCTGTGCAGGGTGAGGGTGAGCTTCACCCAGTTGGATTTGCTTGCAAGTCTTGAGACAGGCAGGAGTCGAACTGCAAAGGCAGGCAGGGAAACCAGCTGGGTTTGGCTGTCCAGGCAAATTTTAAACTGGCAGGACTTGTTCCCTGCCCTAGCCCAAGGGGAGAGTGGCAATCCCACTTGGCAGCTGTAAGGTGGTGCTTTAACTGCTATGTCTCTGGAGGAACTGTATTCTCCCGTAGCTGTGGACATTCTGCCTTACATTTCCTTCTCTACAAAATGACAGGGGTAGACCAGGTGGCCCCCAAGCCACTTGGAGCAGAACTCGGCATTTTATAATTTCTCTTGATTTCAATGTGAGTGGCTTTGATTGGTGAACTTTCCCCCCATAATCTGGACAAGTACACCATGATTTCTGATTCTCTTTCCGCCTCCCATTCAGAGTAGTTTTAAACTCCGTGGAACTTTAGCCAGGGGATTTCTCCTTACCCTTTTCATTACTAAGCTAAAAATAAATTGGGGGTCCAGGCTGATGACAAAAAAGTAAAGAAGAGAGAGTTCATAGCACTGATTTCCCCACATCCAGGAAACATAATACTACAAGGTGAACCCAAACTCTGCAGAGGACAGGACCCTTCCTACATATAAGCCATGGAGATGCTAGGCTTGCTGGAAGGAGTGATAATGTGATAAGTAAGGGCTGGCGACAGCTTGGTCTCTGACTACAGTGGGCATTGAAGTGGGAGAGCTGGGCCTTCATTTAATCTTTAACATCGCTGCTAGTCTTTCTCTTTTTAAATTGAAGAGTGACTGTAACTTGGTTTTATCAGGTTAATATGTATTCTTGAATGCTATGTTGGTTTACACTGATTTTGTGAAATTTCAGAGGCATTTTACTTGGCACTTTCTTTGATGGGAAAGAAAGGGAAAAAAGGCAAGATTGTCTTGATGTAACAATGCCTATGGTGTATACCACGTGCCAATCACTGTTCTAAATGCATTACAGCTGGAACTCATTGAAGCTCCTAACTGCACTGTGTGCCCCTCTTTCTGCTGATGAGGGACCCGTATTTTGTGGTAAAAGTCTGACTAAGAAGGCTGTGGCTTCTATGCTGGCGTCTCTCACTGAGTTTTAGAAGCGTGGAGTGGTGACTTTGCTATCAGTTCCTCCATTATGCCAATGACGTCAGGAGGGACGGATAACCCAGAAGGAGGGGACAGAGGACATGGTGTTGTTTCCACAGTGAAGGCGGAGCAGAGCTGTGGGTGGTCGCAGGGAAGCAGGCAGGGCCACCTCCAGTGGGAACACGGGAGAGAGAAGCAGCAGTCAGCCCCTCAGGACCTTCACTGGGCGTGTTCTGGTGGCTGCACAGATGCCTGGCAGTGAGGGGCCTTTTGCAGCCTCATGGCTGGTGAGTGTGAGCTGTGATATGACCTCACCCACTCCACCCACAGTCACCAGGAAGTGTCTGTGGTTCCCTAGTTTGTTGAATGCTGGATTAAGTGTCAGGCCAGTGCCCTAGGTTAGAAATCACTGTTCCCCAACCTACTTTGGCTTTTCGTTGCTCTTTTGTGGTTAATAGTGGGATGAGCTTGAGATCTGAAGCCTCTTCTTGTATTATGAACCCCTTCGCAGATTAATATTTTGAATGCATAAAGTAAAATATGGAGGACGAGGGGAAAACAATTATAGTGGGATACAATGGTTAGAATGTAAAAATGCATGATTTCATAACATTGGTACTTCTTTATTAACACATCGAATGATGAGGTCTGGCAGTGGGACTAGGAGCTTCTGTCCTCTGGAAGCGGAGAAGAGAATAAGCAAAACTTCTTTTTTTAAAAAAAAAATATATTTTATTGAGCTGTCCTCTGGAAGCAGAGAAGAGAATAAGCAAAACTTCTGTGCTGACCATGGAAACATCTAGAGTTTTGGTACCCTTGACCGGAATCGAACCTGGGACCCTTCAGTCCGCAGGCTGACGCTCTATCCACTGAGCCAAACCGGTTTCGGCATAAGCAAAACTTCTTGTGCTGACCATGGAAACATCTAGAGTTTTGGTCGGGGACAAAGTTTCAGCTGCTGAGATTTTTTTGCCTGCATTCAAAATGGGAGGGAGTGGATTTCAAAACCAGGTTAGCGAGAGTGCCGGTGTCCCTTTTTCCACCCAATAGTCAGTTCCCACTTCCCAGCCCACCTGACCTCCCGGCATCGTCTGACACGGTAGACCCACCCTCCCTGCCTGGGACACTTGCTTGGCTTGGCTTCTGGGATGCCATGAGCGCTGGTTTCTCTCCCCTCACCAGCTGCTGCTTCGAGGCTCCTGACTGGCTCCTGCTTATCTTCTTGGCACCCTAACCCTGGAGCACCCAGAGCTCACTCCTTGAGCCTCTCCTCTTCACACATCTCCTCTTCTCTCCCCCACCACCCTCGAGGAAGACACGGAAGCATCTCTGTGCCTCAGTGAAGTGAGGATAATGATGAAACTTGGCCTCAGAGTTGGTAGGAAGATTAAGTGAATGCATAGCTGCGAAGGACTTGACCCGGTGCTGGCACGTGGTAAACACATGCATGGTTTACTGAAAGAGATCTATAATTTCCTAGGTAATTTCAGTCAGTCCCGCGGCTTGAATACGTCTGTGTATCTGTGATTCCCGACTTACATCCCTAGGCCTGTCCTCTCTTGGAATCCAGACGTTTGCATCGAGCTGCCCACTCAGCCTGACCTTTGGGAGCTCAAACTTAAAAAGACCAAGACGAACCCTTGGTTTCCTTCACAAACCTGCTTCTTCCCTGGTCTTCCTATCCCAGTAACCATACCTCCAGGTGCTTGGGCCCTCAGTCATCCCTGGTGCCTCTCCTTCTTTCCTGACGTCCTCCCATCCATCTCTAAATCCTGGCATCTCTACCTTTAACTTAGATCCAGGACCGGACCACTTTTCACCAGCACCAGGACAGTAGAACCTTGCCTGTTGTCTCTACTTTCACCTCTTCCCCCTTCTCTGGGCATTAGCTAAGCAGCATCGAAAATGATCTGACTTTAGTTCATTTAAATCCACATCATGTCACTCCTGTTCAAAGCCCTTCAGTAGTTTTTCATTGAAAACCAAAATCCCCACCATGGCCTTTGGAATCCCCACAGGATATGACTCACATCCCCTCACCATCTCTTCTCTTACCGTCTCTTCCCCTTCAGCGCTCTGCTCCAGGCCCGCCAGCTTCTTGCTAAGCAGCCTTTGTGCTTGCTGTTCCCTCTGCCTGGAATGCCCTTCCTCTGTCGCCTTAGCTGGCTTTATTTTTCTTTCTAGAACTTGTACAGATCTGAAATATATTCACTTGCGTAATTGTGCATTTTCTGCCTCCCGGCACTAGAAGGTGGGCGTTTTGACAGCGGGGGCTTGGTCTGTGTTTAGTGCTGTTTTTTCCAGTGCTTAGAATAGTGTCTGTCATGTAGCATCCACTCAATCAGTGTGTTGATCGGACGAATGAAAGGTGCTAGCCCTTTGGACCTTCTAAAAGTATTCGAGCTTCAGAAGCCTCTTGTATAAACAAGACTTCACCCTTGTCAAGCAAATAGGGGATCCCAGCCAGTGCATTAAAAAAAAAAAGTTGAAAATGTATGACAGGCCTTAAGCATCCTCCCTAGAAAAGAAGAGAGACCAGAATCTCTTTCCCCTACATCAGTGATGGCAAACCTATGACACGCATGTCAGAGGTGACACGCGAACTCATTTTTTTGGTTGATTTTTCTTTGTTAAATGGCATTTAAATATATAAAATAAATATCAAAAATATAAGTCTTTGTTTTACTATGGTTGCAAATATCAAAAAATTTCTATATGTGACACAGCACCAGAGTTAAGTTAGGGTTTTTCAAAATGCTGACACGCCGAGCTCAAAAGGTTCACCATCACTGCCCTACATTCAAGCCCCACTTCCTCATCAGTCCAAGTATGGAAAAGAGGAAAAGATTTGTTTTGCTGGCTAACACTGATGAGGCACAGATATTGTGCAAGAAAACAAAATGCAAAATGATTTTTGCATCAATGACTTGAACTTGCTTCCTAATAACCTCATATACACTCCCCAAAATCCTTAGACGAGTAAAAGTTGGTGTAAATCAACAAAGAATAGTCACTTTTTATCTGATGTTTAAAAAGAAAAAGATGGGGAAAAATAATATGAAGTGACATTAAATTCTGTATTCAAAGTCACTGAAGTGGAGGA